GAAGCACATGTAGTGTAGGTTTGTTTGAAACTCTAAACCGGACCATTTTCTAGTTATGCCCTGGACCTTGGAGACAAATGGGCAAAACTGGAAAGTTAAACCTAACCCCTAGACTCAATTATGGTATTGCACTAGGTGTTGGACTGGGTTGTCTTTGATATGCCAATCAGTGAAATTCTTAGCGGGGGTCAAAACCTGGGTATGTTGGGGCAGTCTAAGAATTCACCTGAGTGGGTGATCATAGTGACAGAATCAACCCCTTTGTCGGACAAAGTGAATGATCGGGGAATGCACTCTCTCTGAAGGAAACCTAAACTGCTGACACTGGATTTCAAATGTGTTTGAAATTTGTTTTACAAAATATATTTATATAGAGATATACATATATATTATGGTTTAACAAAATGTTTGCAAAAATGTTTTAATTCCCGGGATCCATGTGAGCAAAGAGTGCAACACTGTACCTTGTAGCCAAGGGAGAGGTCCTCTCTTGTCGGGTAGTGTTTGATCATTATGGGCTGAGAGGTTAAGTGTAAGACCATTTAGGGTTTATACCTGATGGGCTAATCTCACATAAGTCCATAGTCCTTGGGCCTTTATAAGGTGGTTGAACCCAGGGACCATTTAGTGTAAATGTTGGGCCTGCTAAGAGCCCATGCTGATGGGCTCAGGGGCCCACTGTCTTCAGCAATGAATTCGGCTAGGCCTTGTAACAGAGGCTAGGTTGAACCCATATGGCTTTTGTGGAGATCAATGTTAGGATCCCACGCCATACAAAGAGAGCCAAGCTAGCTAGCAAATTAAAGGGGAAGTGAACCTGATAACTTAATGGGCCTAAAGCCCATTTCAAACTGGGCTTAATTTGATTAATTAAAAGAGGGCGAATTTGAGATCAGATCTGCTTCTAGATCAGCAAGAGGATAAGATATGTCTTATCCACTTAGGAGTTCTGATCCAAATAAAGATTTGGATCAAAAAACCCTCTCTTGATATGATTAGGAAGCTGATCCAAGAAGGATTATAAATAGAGGGAGAAATCCTTCTGTTAAACACTTTTTGCAAATCTAGATCTTCTCTATGCTCTTGCCACCCTACCCTGTTCGATCTCCAGTTCTTGGAGTGATCAAGATTGGATCTTGATATTGTTTCTTGCTGGAAGAAACAATCTTGAAGTTGTGCTCACATCCCTACATGATTCTTGCTGAAGAATTGGGGTTCTTACTGAAGAATCTCTTTGCTGATCATGCCTCACCCTAAGTTGTGTCATCTTTAGTGGAGGAAGGATTTGGTGAACTCTTTGGGCGTGAACACCTACGTTGGGAACTACTGTTGATTCCATATCAGGTATATCCCTTCCTTAATCTTGGTTTCAGATTCCGTATGCAGTCTTTCTAAATCAGGGAATTTGATTCCCGGAAGGGGGAAAGAAAATTTTTTAAATTTCGCCCAGCCACCCAGCATGGTTCAGCCATCCATATGATGGATCTCCCTTTCCTTCAATCTAACCTTAAGGGGGAAGCTTTTCCATGTTGGGATCACCATGTCCAAACGGTGTGAACTGGAATTTGGGCTTTAGAAGGAGGATAAGGGAAAACGAGTGTGAATCTTTAATCCAATTGCTGGACCTCCTAGGGAAAATCCACTTGGACCCTTCGTTGCAAGACTCTAGAATCTGGGTAGGCTCTCCAGACGGCCTGGCCTCTTTTCTTGCTCCTCTTTCTTCAAAGTACTTGCTTTCCCCAAAGATCCAAGCCTTCTACTGGGAAATATTCCTTGGTAAGGTAAACACTTGTGATATGCTACAGAAAAGGAGGCCATATATTTGCCTTTCTCCTCATGTGTGTTCTTTGTGTAAAGAAAGTGGTGAGACCCTTTCTCATTTAATGATATCCTGTTCTTTTGTGCATTGAATTTGGGAATTCTTTTGTACTCTCTGGCTGCAAGTGGGTTCCCCCTCAAGATGTGGCAGGACTCTTCAACCATGATTTCTTGAGACAGCGAAGGAAAAGAGGGATAGTAATGTGGAAAGCAACAAAGGCAGCAATTTGCTGGGTAACATGGGAAGAGAGGAACAACAGAATTTTCTTGGAAAAAAGTAGAACAGTAGAGTTAGTGATTGATAGTATCAAGGTGAAAGTAGCCCATTGGGTAAAATCCTTGGATAGCTTTCAAGTCTTCTCAGTCGCAGACATTCTAAGAACATGGTCCGAAGCATAGTTGTCAAGGCGATGCCTAAGCGGGCGACTAGGCAGTTTTTGAAGGTCGCCTCGCCCAAACGCCAGATGTTTTGTGCACTAGGCGCCTGCCCAGAGACTTAGGCGGGCGCCTAATGTATCTAAAATATTTTTTAAAAATTTATTAGTTTAATATTCATTGGTTGTTGTATTCTTTTAAAATAAGCCTTGTTAAACTGTATCAGTTTAGTATTAAGACAACTATAGAATAGTGTATACAACTAAACTAAGACAAGGGTTTACAAGGGTTTTGGTTCGATTGGAGAGGGAGGAGAACCGAACAGGCGAACTCTGCAAGCTTGAGCAGCTCAGCTCCACCGCAGTCGCACTCGCACCTTAGTTCAGCTCAGCTCAGCTTCTTCTTCTTCTTCTTCTTCTTCTTCTTCTTCTTCTTCTTCTTCTTCTTCTTCTTCTTCTTCTTCTTCTTCTTCTCAGATATCAGTTCAGTCGAAAAAACAGGGGCTCGCCAGTCCTTTTCTTTTTCTTTTTTCGAAAAAACAGGGGCTCCACCCCTATACTCCTCAATCCTCCCTTTCTCCACTTCTTCTTCTTCTTCTTTTTCTCCTTCTTCTTCTTCTTCCACCCACCCCATGAGTGGTGTTCTCAGTCCGTCACTCACTCTCAGTCGTCAGTCCACCCCATGAGTCCCTTTTTTTTAGGAAAAGAACAAGGGCTCCGCCCTACTCTTCTCCTCCCTTCAGTCATTCACAGTTTCACACTTGAAGTCTTGAATCATCTCAGTTTTTAATCTCTTCTCTAATCTCTTCTTTAATTCTTCTTCTCATTCAAATTTTTTTATATCATTAGTATATATGATTATGTGGTTGATTTTTTTATGGCTGAATTAAATGTCTTGAATCTGAAACTTGAATCAAATGTTTATGGCTGATTCTTCTTCTCATTCAAATTTTTTATGACTGATTTTTTTATGGCTGATTCAGTGATTGTATGGCTGAATTGAATCAAATGTTTTTTTTATGGCTGAATTGAATCAAATGTTTTTTTTATGGCTGAATTACATGTCTGAAAAGCATATATAAAGTAAAAACTCAATAAAACAAGCATTTTAAAATTCCAACGCCTAGGTGGTGCCCTGTGGTCGCCTAGCCTCGCCTAGGTGCCTTGAAAACTATGGTTCGAAGTAGCACAATCTTTGAGAGTAAGAGGTAAAGTAAGGCTGGAATGGAAACCACCAGAAAGCAATAAAGTAAAGCTGAATTTTGATGGGTGCTCCTTTGGAAATCCAGGCATCTCAGGAATCGGAGGAGTATTAAGAAACTTTGACAGGAGGATATTGGGTATGTTCTCAGGACCGATTGGCAACGGAAACTTGCTGAAGGCTGAACTATTGGCATTACTACAAGGGTTAAAACTAGCCAAACAACTAGGATGCAGACATGTTGAAGTGGAAGGGGACTCAAAAGTAGTAATATCATGGGCAACAAATAGCAGCCATACCCCATGGACGTTTAAACATGTGATTAGGGAAGTGGAGAAGATTGCAAAGGAGGTTGATGCTGAATTTAAATGGGTCCGAAGAAGTGCAAATGGACTAGCTGATGGATTCGCAAAACAGGGGGCATTGAGACAACAATTATTTTGGGCTGCACTGTAATGAGGGGTAGAATAGAATGATTAAAGGGGATCAACAGTCCCATCACCAAGTTGTATAAACTGCTTATAACCTGAATTTAATAAAATACATTTTTACTGATAAAAAAAATTGTTGAGGGAGATTCAAAAATGGCTGTTAACTGGATACAAAATGAGGAGATGAAGATATGGATCTACGACAATGAAAGGAAGAAAATCAGGTGGCTAACTAGAGACATGGAAGTAAATGACAGTTGGGTTAAGCTGAGTGCTAACTCTGTAGCTGATGCTCTAGCTAAACAAGGGGGAGAGAATCTTTGTTCTGGCATAGTTGTAAGGGAGAGAAAATATCATGGGAAGAGATAAAAGGTTTTATCTCTCATTGTCTTTGTTTTGTACCTATATTCACTGTACTTCTAATTGCTCTCACTAATAAAAAGCATTTGTGGCTATTGATATATATATAAAAAAAAATTGTTGCTTGTGAATTGCCAAAAACCCTGCCACCAACCTAGTTTGATCCCAAACTTATCTTATTCTTTTATCACTACCAGACCAAGCTGGAGCACCCAACTTGATTAGCATGAACTGTTTATTCTATGTCAACATGGTTTTGGTTCACAACAACTGTTTTAGCATGTACATAAGACTTTGACTATATGTACTAGACTGGAGTCAGTGTACTAGACTGGACTCACTGGACTCCATTCTTACACAAACCAGAGACTTACACATTATAGAACATGTTGCCCAAAACTACAAATTGCATCTAGGTTTCTAGTACTGTGTTATTATCAAGCCTCATGAGCAAAAATGCAACAAATGTTCTAATTGAAATGCAATACTGAGCAAGTCTAAACCATAAAGTCCATCTTAGTTTTTTATACTGATTTGTAATAAGCATTTACCAAGAAAAAAAAAACTGTAACAAGCCACATACATAAGAACTTAGCCAATGTATTAATTTATGTACAAAGAAGAAATCAATAATACAGTATATCCATTTCGAATTCTCATATTAAGTTATGATCAAATGTCACATGTGAGAATTATCCAAATATACAAATTAAAATAGTGTGTGGAGCAAGCCGCGGTAACAGAATTTATCAAGATAAATTAAACTGTAAATTGTTCAATAATGAGCATGCCTAAGCAAATACTATTTGGATTTACCAGTAAGTGACTGGAAGCAATGAAGATCAAATGTGTCAGCTTCGAGGAGTTCGATCCCAGAACAACCCATAGTGGGAGACAATTGTTGAGAGATCGCATGCATTGAATGCCATAAACTTGCCAACCGCAGGCTATCATTTGTATCCATTCGCCCTGCTGATCCGTAATCCTAAATGTAAAAACCATATTAGAACACACAATTACTTACCAAAAATATATAAGAACAAGGAAATTCTTTCAAAATGTTCCGAAAGTGCAATCCATAAATAAATAACCTATGAAGTATGAACCAATAAAGGAAAGAAGAATACCTTGTAGAAGATTAATCCCCCAGATTTGTTGATGATAAAGAGGCTGTATATTGCGGCCATTAAGAAGACTCTAGAATGACCTGAATATTGAAAATATAGAGGTCTCGTGACTGAGAATATACAATAAAAAATGGAAACATATACAACCTTATTCAGTCATGGATTAACACATTCATAGATGCAAGTTTGAGGGTGAAAGCTAATAGTAGATTGATTCCTGAGGTATGCAAAAAAGTAGGGCACAGTAATAGATCGTCGTTCCCCCTTGTTTGGAACCCCAGACTGTAATTCATTTGGATCTTGAATTTCAATCCAATGATCGTTCTCCCTTGTTTGGGCACAGTAATAGATTTGCCACATGGCAACTTTTGGTCGTTACTATGCCATGTCATCTTATAAAACGCCAGGTTTGTATTGTGGGGTCGGACAACATATTAATTTATCAAAATGAAATGGAATCAGATATCCTGCAAAATTTTCCCAACAATCAAACATTGGAAAACTGATATTCTCAAATATCTGGTCTCAGCAATCAAACACAACATGGCAAAATGAGAAAATAAATTTTTCTTTTGCATCACATTCTTTCTCCACAACCAAACAGACCATTTGGTCATTTTCAAGGAAACCAGGTTAGATGATTCACAGGGCAAATGGAGACTTGAATTCTACAGTGTCATCACTATAATCACAGGTAACGCTTTTAGTACCCCATAAATGCTGATAGAAGGCCACAAACAAAACACCCATTTAACCTTTAAGACCATAGACAAGGCTTTTACTTTGCTTGGAATACCTCTCCTTGCTCGTAGTCTTTTTCTCTCATTTGAACATGTCATTTGAGCTTTACCAAAAAAAAAAACAAAAGAGCATGTGATTTGAGGATGAGCTATTAGTACTGGGTATGTAGTTTTCGGCCTTTTAAACCATTTAATCAATTTAATCTTTTTTGTGGTGACAAGGCATCACCCACACACAAAACAACAGAAGAAAACTGCTAGGAAGCAGAATAAAAATAAGCCACCCAATTTACAAAGTTGAAAGTTGAAACCCCAACATATCTCCCAATTTGTCCCATAAATCCTCTCTAGAAATTTGATTAAATTCTGGAGATACCAGAACCCAGTCTGCAACTGAGTTGCTAACAGATTCTGGCAATAGCAACCTTTCTTTCTTTCTTCCTCTTAACTTCGGTCATGAAGAAAAAATTTCTGCAGCAGATTCTGGCTGAAAGTTTGGCAACACAAAGAAAGTAGTGAAGATTTTCCACAAAAACCCAGCAACCTTACATGAGAGGAATAGATATCCAACAGTTTCCTCCTGTTCTTTGCAATAGGAAGCACATGCTAGCCATGCTAAAACCCCTGGATTTCAGATGATTCACAGTCAATATGCTGTCCATTGCCACGAGCCAAGCAAACACTTCAACCCTTGGAGGGACCGGATTTTCCCAAACACCACCTATCTGATTTGGATCTGAATCATCCTTGAGAATAGCTATGTAACATGATTTAACAGAGAACTTCCCATTTGAGCACTCTTTCCACCAAAGTTTATCCCTTGTCTGAGTTGATTTCTTCACTTCCTCTAATTCCTCCACTTCTATCCGTTTGGCTCACTTTTATATTATCCGTTTCCCATTGTCCATCGAAGATACCAAGCAGCCAGTTGGCAGCTTGTTATATATCCCTCCAACTTTAAAATTTTAAATTTGTATTCAAAACCCACCTTAAATTTTCAAATTTTGACACTTTCCCCCCACCTCCTTAATGGTCTTGATCATGGTTTTGAAAATCGAATCGGACCAGATGGTCAAACTGGTTGACCCGGGAATTGATTAGGTAATTGGTTTCATTTTAAACCGTTGGTTTGGTCAGTGACCCATTGACCATGTGGTTGAACCATTAATTCGTTAACCTAGACAATGGTTTTGGCTGTTTTTATTTTATTTATTTTTAAATCAGAATGGGCCATCCATTTGGACCGAATGATTGAACTATTTGACCCGAGAACCAATTGGCTAGAACGGTTCCATGTTTGATCCAATTTTTAAACCCTTGGTCTTGATAGCAAGGGTAAAATTTTTAAAATGTCTATTTGAAGTAAGGATTAAAATATTGACACGATTTGTTGTGTATTTTCAAAGCTTTAAAATGATATAAATGTACTTTCAAAGCTTTAAAACTTTAGAATGCTTTATTTCATCCTTCTAATGCATATAAAATAAAAAGTGTAAATAAAATTGAAATATAAATCATATCAATATACACCGATATCCAAATTTTGATATTTTGATAGTAAGAAAAAAAATCAAAATAACAAAAAATAGGCATGTTAAAGCATGGCATCTTTTCTTGTAGTTTTATTTTTTTTTTTTTACTATTTTTCTTGTTTCTTTTCGTTTTTTTTTTTTAAAGGTGCTTAAATTCACACATTGCAGTCAAACCAGAATGTTTTGGGAAATGCTAATGGCAGGGGTACTATGAAAGTTTGGGGTGAGTTTTTGTCACAAATGAGAGCTCGGGGTCTAACGATCATTACCCCAAGGTACAGAGTGGCAATCATCGTCTCTGACTCTCTGTTATCCCCAGTCCTCCTCAGAACCATGGTCATAGGATGTGAAAGCAGTAAAACTCTCCAAGTGAACAAGTCCTTCGGAAGCATAAGCTCAGTGAATAAATTTCTCTCTCTCTCTCTCTTATCTTTTATTTTTTTAAAGTCTGTTTCTCTGTGGATCACACTGTTCTTCTGGAGGAAGCAAGGTTGTTCAACCAAGAACTCCATGAACTTGAGGAATGTTTTACTGAAACAGATAACCTCGAAACTCTAGAATGGAATTCTGTTTCAGTTCATTAGTGGGTCGACACTCCCAGTGATGGAACCCCATTGCATCCTGCTTACCCAACAAGACAAAGATTTGTGCTTTAGGTTGCCTTTACAAGATTGATGCTTTCAAAGCGTATAAAAGTGTTTTTACTTGACTGATTCTTTTTTTTTCCCACAGACCAGAGCTCAAAAACAAATGATCCAAACATCGCCTGATTTATGTTTATATGTAACCGGTTGTAGTTTCCCTTTTATCGTTCTATATGCTCTAAATCCCCCTGTTCTTTTCATGTTTCCATTTGAACTCGGAACCCTATGGGGTTACTGATTCCAAGACCGAAGATGAAGTTAAATTGAATTCTTCCGACATTTTATTATTTAATTATTTTATTCACTAAAAGGCACCACAATAAGTCATCCAATTCAGCCATTTTATTAAACTACTATAATCAAATCACTATTTATTATTTATTAGTAAGTGTGTATTTGGTTTGCACGTAGAAGTGTAAAACGGGCTGTGCCGGGCCAGTATGGCACGATCCGCGGGTTGTTCGCACAAAGTGTAGGCCGTGTCATGCCGGCCCGTGGGGCCATCCCAAGCTGTGCTATCCTCCCCTGGGATAACTTGGGGGGTTGGCCTGGCACGGCCCACAACCCAAGCTCATGCGGGCCCATGCCATGAGGCGGGCTTGGGCCAGGCTGTAAGCCATGTCGGGCTGGGCCATAAGCCGGGCCTTGGGCATGGGCTGAATCGGGCCAGACTGGTTTTTACCTTTTTTTTTACATTATTGATTTTTTATTTCTTTGCTAAGTAAGTGTAAAACTAAAATATTCAACTTTCCTTTGGGCTTTGGGAACTATTTGAAAAAATAAGAAATGAGGAATCTAACAAATAAATGAAAAAATACTCAAATAAGAATGGAATAATAAATTGGAAGAAAAATAGGAATTTTATTTCATTTAAATTTGAATGATACAAATTACAAAGCATACAATGGTTGGATACTTGGATGAATGAAATATGAAAATTGGAAAATGGAATAAATTAATAAATATAAAAAAATACAATATAATTACAAATTGAAAATGCAAAATTACATTGTTAAAAAATAGCAAATAAATTAAATAAATTAAAACAAAATTTACAATAATTTGAAAAAAAATGTTATACAACTATTGAGTGAGTATACAAAAAATATTGACTTCATCATTTTCTGATTTTCTCCTATTATTCATGACTTTCATCATCTTCTTCAGGTGAAATATCGGGTGTAGTGCCATGCCCACCTTTGTCTTGTAATCTGTCTTTAGCATCCAACCAATCTTTAAAGTAGATGCACATCTTTATACTTTCACCATTCATACATCTTTTCTTGTCATCCAACACTCTAGTACCTGTACTAAAACAAGACTCTGATTGAACTGTAGATACCGGAGAGGTTAGTAGATCACATGCACGTGAGAACTAAACAATTTTTTAAATGTTCACTCCACCAAGTTATAATATCAAAATTATTTGTTCCCCCACCTAAAGTAGAAAAATTTTCTTGTAAATAAAAATTAAATTCAGTAAATGAACTTGTTGTTGATGTAGCAAACTTCTGCCTTCTACTTATTAAATAAAAAAAATTATCTTCTATTACTGGGCTCAAGTTCCAAAGTAGAAGATGCGGTTGTACAACTTGTAGAATTATTTCCTATTACTTCATATTCATATAAATTGTACATAAAAGTGCTTTTATAAAGTACTTTTGTAAAAGTACTTCTGTAAAAGTGCTTTCGTAAAAGTAATTCCATAAAAGTGCTTTCATAAAAGTGATTTTGTAAAAGTGCTTTCATAAAAGTACTTTCATAAAAATACTTCCATAAAAGTACTTTTGCAAAAGTGCTTTCATAAAAGTACTTTCGCAAAAGTGCTTTTATAAGTACTTTTGTAAAAGTGTTTTCATAAAAGTACTTTTATAAAAGTGCTTTCAAGCGTGGCCCCGTCGGCGGTCCGACCAGTGGAGCTGAATAGCCAGCCCGCCAAGGTGCCCCCCTTTACCCAAGAAATTGTGGACGAGCTCCCCCCAGTTGGCTGGCGAGCACCACAGTTCGAGAGGTATGGCGGAAAGGGAGATCCAAACGATCATCTTGAAGCCTTCAAAGCCCAAATGATGCTGCATGGAACGTTCGGAGGCCTGATGTGCAAAGCCTTCGTGGCGACTCTCAAGGGTGTGGCCTTAACATGGTACTCCTCCCTTCCTCCGTTCTCCATCTCTTCTTGGGAGCAGATGGAGAACCAATTTTTTGGCCCAATTCATGGCCAATAAAAAACACCAGAAGACTACGACAACCCTCATGCAAATGCAACAAAGGAAGGGAGAGTCTCTCCAAGAGTACCTCATGAGGTTCAACACCGAAGCCCTACAAGTCCGGTCCTTGAACCAGTCAATAGCGGTCACCGCCATCTAGCACGGCCTCCGCCCCTCTCCCTTCAACTTTTCAATCTCCAAGAATCCTTCGCAGACCATAGTCGTGTGGATGAACCATGCACAAAAGTACATCAATGCAGAAGAAGCACAAGCACAGGAGAGAGGCGAGGAGGAACGACTTGACAGAAAGAGACGAGATTCTGAGGAACGCAAGATAGAGAGGACGGACTGAGACAACAAGAGACAAGATTGCTGGTCAGACCGAAGACCAAGGACCTTGTTATGAGCACCTGCACCACACGACAGTAACAGAGGCAGCACCGCGTGCACGACCGGCACCGCGCAACAGCGGCACCATGAGCCGCGCGCACGCACCCGACAGCAGCAACAGAGCGGGGCCCACACGATAGCTCATAGGGGTGGGTCCACCCTTATCTGGACACGTCAAGATAACTCACCTCTAGCCTTCCTTATCTCTTATCCCTTATCTTATCTTATCCTTATCTCTATCGTAAGTAAGAATTGTGTTACCATTACGAGTAGGTAATTAGKAGTTTGAGTTCAAGTTGGAGTTTGAATTTAATTAGGAATTTCCTTCTGTGATCTCCTATTTAAGGAGCCACGAATTGAAATAAAGCATTCAATTTTCCAGCCAAGAAAAGAGTGAGGAGAGTTCGGGTGGTCTCTTGAACAAATCAGCCCCCTCAGTTCGCCACCATAGGGTCAACTCGCAAAGGGAAGGGCAAGGGAAGGCAAGGAGTTTCCCCCACAAACTGCCCCGTGACGAGATCTTACGCCCGGGCCCATAACATTTTGGTATCAGAGCCAAGTGTCATGGGCGACATGGAGCAACTATCATCTAAGGTTCACGAGCTGGAACACCGTCTCGTGGAAAATCACGCGGAGGTAAGAGAAGTTAAAGAGGACGTCAGGGAACTTCGGCATCTACTGGAGCTATACTTCTCCACTAGGAAAAGGAGCCCTGAAGGGGCAGCCACCAACAACAGCCGCTGCCTAGATCGGGCAGAGGGCTCCGATGAACGACAAAACGACACCCCGATAGCAGCAGTCATACCCAAATACAGTCGTCTGGAGTTCCCCTCATACAGTGGCAGCGGTGACCCACTTGGATGGCTGTACCGCTGTGAGCAATTCTTCCGTAATCAGCGCACGGAAGAGAAGGACAAGGTCAGCCTGGCAGCATTCCACTTGACCGATGAAGCACAGCTCTGGTTCTACCGAGTGGAGCAGGAAGAACCAGGCCTTAGTTAAGACCAGTTCAAATCATATTGCCTCCTCCGGTTTGGACCCCCATTAACAAGCAACCCCTTGGGGGAGCTCATTAACCTCAAGCAAACCGGTA